ATTTAAATTGAAAACCACAGGAGAATAGGATACTATATGCCTAGGACAGGGGTCGGCAACCCGCGGCGGATACTAGCGAGGGGAGGAGGCGCATTGTGCGCCCCGACACTCCCCACTGTGGCGGGCGCTGTACTGGCTGTGACGTCGCATGGGGGCGGTGCGCGCGTTAGTCACGCACCGTCCCGACGTCACCTTCCCGCCTGCTGTCAGATCGGAGGGCAGCGGCGCGCATGCAGGTCTACGACTGCGAGGAGGAAGATGACGTCCGTCCAGACTCCCGTCAGCAGCAGCGTGCCAGGCACCAGTGTGAGGTAAGTGAAGTGATGCGTCTGGGGGGGGGGAGCCCGGCCCACACACTGCATTGAAGGGGCATGTATGGTGGTCTCTGCATATTCAGGGGCATGGAAGTGAAGTGATGCCTCGGGGGGAGCCCGGCCCACACACTGCATGTATGGTGGTCACTACATTGTAAGGGGCATGTATGCTGGTCACTACATTGTAAGGGGCATGTACGGTGGTCACTGCATTGAAAGGGGGTATGTACGCTGGTCACTGTTTTGAAGGGGAGTGAAGAACACACACACAAAAAAAGGTAACTTGTTAATTTAACGTTTATTTCTATGAGGAGGAGTAATTCTGAGGGGTCAAACAAAGAAATAATAAAAAAAAGTGACAAAAAAGTTATTTTTATAATGACGAGGATGACATTGGGCCCTCATTATTAATTATTATTTACATCAGGCACTGATTATGATTTATGGTACACTGGGGCCCTGATTAATTTTCTATGGCATTTTGGGGCATTGATTATTGGGCATAGCAAATTTTGCTATGGGGCCCTATGATTTCTAATTACGTCCCTGTTTTGGACCCCCGGTAGGCCAGCCATGGATAAAGGCAAGAAAAGAAAATTTTCTGAAGAAAACAGAGTGTTTAATGATACATGGACAGAATCATTTGCATTCTCTAGACAAGACTGGTTTACCAGTATGCTTAATATGTGGTGAGAAATTTGCAAACAACAAAAAGTCGAATATTGCAAGACATTTCCAGAATAAACACACAGCCTTTGCTGAAAAATATCCAGATGGAGATGAGAGACGAAAAGCCGTTGCAGAACTTATGAGGAAGGTTGATAGGAGCAAAAATAATTTCAAGAAGTGGGTGAAGTCTGCAAATTCCACAACATATGCTAGTTTTGTAGCCGCTCAGGAAATAGTCAAGCACGGGAAGCCGTTCACAGATGGAGAGTATATAAAAGAAGCATTCATTAAGATTTTGGAACATCTATACATGGACTTCAAAAACAAGAATGAAATTGTGCAGAAAATCAAAGACATGCCTCTCTCTGCGAAGACTGTTAAAGACAGACCCCTAAAAATGGCAGAAAACATTGGCAAACAGCAAATTCAAGACATTAATTCAGCTGTGGCGTACTCCATCGCCTGTGATGAGTCCAAAGATAAAAGTGATATTGAACAAATAGCGCTGTTCTGCCGATACGTGAACTCTTTTGGGCCACAGGAAGAACTGATTGAGCTGATACCACTAAAAGACCAAACAAGGGGTGAGGATATCTGTAAGGCTGTCCTGGACTTTTTAAGAGCTAAAGAAATAAACACCAACCACCTGGTCTCAGTGGCTACTGATGGGGCACCGAGCATGAGAGGAGCACAGAAGGGCTTTGTGGCTCTACTGCAGAAGGCGCTGGGTAGAACGCTGCTGTCATTTCATTGCATCCTGCACCAAGAGGCATTGTGTGCTCAAACATTTCCCCCCGAATGCACAAAAGTGATGGATGTGGTCATTCAGATTGTTAATAAGATAATGGCAAAGGGTTTAAACCACCGCCAGTTTCGTTTGCTATTGGATGAGGTGGAAAGCACATATTCTGACCTCATGCTCCACAACAAGGTCCGGTGGCTGTCCAGAGGCGAGGTGCTAAAACGCTTTGTCACATGTTTGGAAGAAGTAAAAACCTTCCTGGCCAGCAAAGAGCTCACCTTTGCTGAGCTGGAAAAATTACATTTTACGGTAGACATGACAGCCCATCTAAACACGCTAAATACAACCCTTCAGGGGAAAGGAGGCACAGCCCTGCACACGCTGGAGGAGGTTTTGGCATTCGAGCGCAAGTTGACAGTGTTTGTCAAAGATTTCCAGAGAGGTACACTGTCTCACTTTCCCTCTTTGAGAGAGTTCAAACAAAGTCATGATACGATAAATTTGGAATATTTCAAGTCTGCAATCACCGCAATGCAAAGCTCGTTTGGGAAACGATTCTGTGAGTTCAGAGAGGAAAAAAACACATTATCCTTCCCTGTCACTCCCCTGGCGATCGATCCATCCCTATTGAATATGACTGCATTTGCAGGTGTAAGTCAACCTGATCTTGAGATGGAACTGGCCGATATAGCCGACAAAGATATATGGGTGTCCAAGTTCAAATACTTGACCGCTACTCTTGAGGATGTTGCCCGTCAGAAGGCCATTCTGGCTCAGAATCATAAATGGAGTGATATTGAAAACCTTCCCAAACAGGACAAACTTGTATTCGAAACATGGAATGCCATCCCCAACACTTATATAAACATGAAAAAGTATGCATTTGGAGTCCTGTCGATCTTCGGTTCCACATATGTATGTGAGCAGGTCTTCTCCAACATGAACTATATTAAAAACAAACATCGATCACGCCTCACAGATGACAGCTTGCAAGCCTGTGTGAAAATGAAGGTGACGTCTTACAGCCCTGATGTGCAGACACTGAGCACTGAGGTTCAGGAGCAAAAGTCCCATTAACCAGGTAAATTAAATATTTTAATTAGCTATTAATTTGCAAAAATATATTTTACATTGTTAAGTGAAAGTCCTTTTTCACAGCTAACTGCACGATCCTGTATATATAGCATTAAGGTAAGAAACAATATATGTAGTGTTATATTTGTTTTAAATGTCGCAATGGTTTTGCGGCTCCCAGTTTTTTGTTTTTTTTCTTCGGAAACGGGTCCAAGTGGCTCTTTTTGTCTTAAAGGTTGCAGACCCCTGGCCTAGGAGGATCTAGCCAGCATTGAAAGGGTTATTCAGTTGATCTAACTGTTAACCAGGGTTTTATGGCCCTTCGCTGTGAAAAGCTTCACTTTTTGTCTGTAAGGATACCCTCAAATCTTAAGTGACAGAAAATGCTGTTTAGCCGTTAAAACATGTATAGCCATTCCATTGTATTGCATATTATGTCATACTAAATATTTACTGATTATCATCATGCATGTTGCCTAATAATATTGTTAATTAATTGTTATTATAAAATAAAATCTATTTTTATAACACATTGTGATCATTAATTGTATGGAATACTTTTCACTTACATGATAAACGATCTCTAAGATCTAAGAGAATTGAAATAGTGGGCAATTCTCGACTGCTTAAAATTATCATCCCATAAATATCCCCACAATCCTTTGTTTGCATGAGGTTTTTTTTAAATTATTATTATTGTTACAATGCATGGAGTTCCTGGAGTTTTTTAGTTACATCTAGAACTTTTTTGGGGAGATTAAAATAGGTTGACAAAAAAAAAAAAAAAGTTTTAGGCTGGTGGTATACACCCAAGAATTCCTGTTAAAGAGGTTTCTGCCGGCCCAAGTGCTCCTTCAAGCATGCCAGTTGTGTCTGTCGAAGATGAGGCGAGCCCACAAGCAGAATAACAGGTGATTGAGGAGCAGCTGGTGTCAGAATGCAGAGAGCAAGCACATATGAATGACCCAGATGTTTTTGAAGACCTTACTGAATTAGGAAGTATCACACCTGAAGACACGTCAGTAAGTGTTATAAGTGATCCATCAGAAATATCTTAGACTTCTGCATGTTCCATAGCAGAATTTTTTTTTTGTTGAAAAACACCCTTTTCAGCCAACCAGGACTGAATGCACAGATCTTCCTTTTCAAGAAGCAGACTTATTACCGCAAAAATTCGAATGGGGATCGTATTAAGCGTTCATGGCTGAGTTGTAAGATAAAGGATAGAAAGTTAAAAGCATTTTTTGTGGCATATGCATTGCCTTTTCTAATTCCTCTTCCTCGTTCACTAGTGGTTGTTCTAATTTTCGACATTGCGATTAGGCAGCAAATAAGCACAAATCTTCAAAAAGTCATTTTTATGCTGTTTGTGCTTATTTTACTATGAAAACTAACAGAAGCATTGACACATTAATAAATCAGGCTCAAGTCTCCAGAAGAAAGGAGATACGTCAAAATATTGAGGTATTAAAGCGTATAATATTGTAAAACTGCTCGGAAAACATGGATTGCCATTTCGTGCCCATCACTCCTCTCTGTGCCATAACATTTAAAAGTACACCTATTTATACCTTAGGTGTCTTCATTTTAGGGTTACCGTAGTTCATATATGAAAAAGTAACACTTTACTTTATCCATTTTAGGACATCCCTTAACGTGGCAAAAATACAAGGCCATAAAATTCCCTGACTTAGTACAAGATGGCATCTTAAAGTCTGAACATCTTTATCTATTTAGGGTTACCGCAGTATATCATGTACTAAAAGTCGTAGCATAGCCTTAAAGCTTGTTTATGCATTGTTATTGTATTTCATCTGGGACAAAGTGACGTAAACATATGCACTGAAGGCAAGTACAAGAGGTTATTGCTTAAAGAAACATATATGAAAAACAATAGGTTCCATTTCTAACACCTTATAAGTTTGCAATATCTCTTAAAGACAAAGTGCACAGTTTGAGGAATACAATAGTTCATTCTAAAACTTGTAATATTTGCATTTGCCCATAACTCAAGCACCCATTAAATTAACACATCTCTCGGAACAAGGATAGAATTTTGCCTACAACTTGGTAACTATAAAGTGTTTATTTAAAAATTTTCCTAAAAACAAGTAAACCTGGAAAATGGCTGATATAGATTCCAAAAATTCTGGTATCAGATCTAGCCTAAACTTAAGTAAGTAGATTGATGGTCTGCAGCTGAAATTTATGATAATTTATTGGTTAAATGGCCAAGTTAATCAACTTTTTATCCAGAGATATATTAGACTTGTCTTTATTACCTGTAGTGACCAACAGACAGGAATTCGAGACAAAAGGCATAGGTTCTAGTAGTGTTGCCAGTTACCCAAGGAGTTGCAAAAATGGTTAAGGACCTTGGTTGTACCTGGTACATCCGTGGCAATCTATGCACTTACCGGATCGCTGGCGATCCCCCGCCGGCAATTGTGATGTGGGGACTTGCCTGGCATCCCGGGCAGTCCCCCTGCGGGTGATCCAGCCCGGCCATGTGATCGCAGGTTCCTTGCGATTGCTTGACCGGAATAGCCGGCATGTGCAGTACCTGCAAGGGGCCTGTCTGAGCTCTCACAACGTACAGGGATATGAAGTCAAACAACCGGTGGCCAAACACTCTTTGGATAAGGGCCACACTACCGTCCCTTAAATTATTGCCTATTGATCATATTTCTGCTCTTCCTCCACGTAGTGACCAAACTTTTGCTCCAACAGGAAATCTATTTATGACTCAACACAGTCCAACCACATGGACTGAATGAAAAGTATTCATTGTCTGTATTCCTATAAAAAGCATTTCTTTGGGTTTGATAATTTTGATTCAATACACAGGATGTAACAAAAGACAGCCCACCATGGGGGACAGGTTTGTCTGCGTTGCTAGTGTATGTCACCATCCTTTTGGGAGTATGCATTGTATTGTTTTACTTATTGGTCGAAGTTTGGACAACAGAGTTGCCTGTAAATATGAAGGGGTATGCTGTATGTGTATACATGTTGTAACGAGTACTAGGTTTAGAATTGTATCACAGATTTGGTGTCCAGTTTCCATGGAGATGTCATGACGCGGGATGTAGTGTGATGACACAGTCAGGGTCAATTACTAAACCCTGCATGCTCCGGCGGTCTCAGATTTAATCCCTTCACTAATGGGGTAAGTGAATCTTGTGGTGGTGGGTATGTAAGGTTTTTTTTTTTTTTTTACTGAATTAGCTCATGCTGATAAAAGTTTGCATTACAAACTGAATTGTCGATCTTTATACTGAGCAATAAAAGCCAAGTTTTACTATATCTTTTTGAAGTCCTTGGAGTGACACACACACACACACTGGACTGGCGATCCTGGTCGGGGAGGGGGACTGCCTGAGACCCCAGCAGCTCCAGCCACCCCAAGCCTTCAGGGCCATGTGATCACCATGATCACATGGCCACAATAGGAATCTATGGAAATTCCAGCAGAGGGACTGTGAGCAGTCAGTCCCCCAATCTGCTAACAAGCATATACATTCCATACATTCTACATATATTTAACTATTAACTACACAATTTGATTTTATGAATTATAATTTGAGAGCCCAGCCTGACAACACAGGCAGACAGTCCAGAGAATTTAATTGGCAAGCCCTATATTTAACCCCGTAACTTTCCTAAATACCATAAACCCTTTACATTGGGGGGTATTGTTATACTCGGGAGACTTCTCTGAACACAAATATGAGTGTTTAAAACAGTAAACCACACTTTATCTTAGTAACAGCAGACTTCGGTTCTTTGTATACTATAATTTCACACAAAAAGGGCCTAGAGGCGGTAAATTTTTCTCTTACGGAAGACAAGGCATATCCGGACGAACAAATAAAATTTATACTAGAAGGTATATTGCTCATTCTGCAGAATAATTATTTTGGTACAATAATTATTTTTATTTTCAAACGGTTGGTACTATTATGGGAACCAAGTTCGCACACAGTTATGCAAATTTATTCATGGCCTTTTGGGAGCATACATTTATTTCCCACAACCCTAACTGGAGTGCGAACCTGGTTTCATATAGGCGGTACATAGACAATATCTTTATCTGGAATGTGACATCGTACAATTTGGACCTTTTTAAAAGAATTTTTAAATACTAATAATTGGGGAATTACTTTGACGACGGAATACAGTAAGAGTAGTGTAAATTTTCTAGACAAGTATTTTTATAGAGGAGGGACAGATTAAAACAAAAACTTTTTTTAAAACAATGGATGTGAAAAATTATATATACACTTGAATAGCTGCCACTTTTCCCCGTGGCTTAAGAACATACCTAAGGGTACGAAGGAATTGTACGGATTTACACACTTTTCACCAACAGGCAAGCAAACTAAAAGACCAGTTTATTGAAAAAGGATACGAAGAAGCCCATTGCTCAACATCATAAAAGAAAGAGGGAACAGACAGAACCTCTTTATTGAGCTATAAAACTAGGAAAGAGGATGATACACAGAATATTCCTCTGATACGTAACTATAACCATGAGAGTGGAAAAATAAAAATGATAATTAATAAACATTGGCCAATCTTAAGAACGATCCAGCGTTACATAGCCTACTACCTGAGAAACCAAAAATTATATATAGAGAGACACCCAATTTAAAACAGAAACTCACGCACAACCATATAAGAGATAAAAAAAAGACTCCCTTTTTTCAGAAAGCAGGTTTCTATGGCTGCAGACAATGTCTGGCCCGTAGAAGCACAAAAAGTAGTAAGAGACATGTAACCATATTTCATGACCCACATAATAAAAAAAGAATACAAAATAAAGGAGATGATCACGTGTTTTTCAAAGAGGGTTATTTATATACTTAAGTGTCCATGTAATTTACATTATGTGGGAAGCACAAAACGCCCCCTACAGATCATGATAAATGAACATATAAGAAATATTAAAAAAGGTTACGATGAACACTTCAAACAAGTACACAATTGTGATCCATGTTTCCTAGAGTTCTTTGCCATACAGAGAGTGGATATGAATTGGAGAGGTGAAGATGAATTTAAAAAATTGGGCAAAATAGAAACAAAATGGATTTTTAATTTAAATACGCTTACTCCTTTCGGTCTTAATGCAGACTTTGAACTGTGTTATTTTTTACGAGCCCCCCATCCACCCCTCTTCCTTATTCATCTAGAAACTATTTTTATTGAACCCTTTTGTATTTGTTTCTACTTCATATTTAAGACATTAAAATATTCAATTTTTATATTCCCCCCCCCCTCCTAATTTTCTTCTTTTAATTTGATGCTCTCACTTATCTTTATCTAATATTTATTAGATCTATTTTAACCATTTTTAAATACAGCTAATCACATCTTTTAATATGTGGCATTATATACACAGTTCAAGGTATGCAATATCAAACATATCTGCTATGTAGTTTATATGTGTACTTTTTTATCTTTACACTATATTTTTATGTACATGCTCATAGACATTTTATATATTCAATTAAACATTCATGTGTACTATCTCAAGCCTTAAACATTATATTTGTCCCTTTTAAGTCCGTTTTTTTAAAGATTCCCACATAAAGTTTGATTTTTTTCTTTTTTCTCATTATTTACATATGTGTTGTCTCTCTTTTCCCTTATTCTTTATGCTGTTTGAGTTTTAATAGAAGATATGGACACTTTGAACTATGATTGTACATAGTATGGACAATAACAATAGGAAGAGAAGTGCATGCCTGTAATTGAAGTCCTAACGAAAACTGGAAGTGACGCGACAGCAATGCAGACTGGAGGCAAAAAGAAGGCGGGAAATCTGAATGCCATAAAAGCCAGGAGAAGGAGCAGTGATTAACATGCCAACTGAGGAAGCCAGCAATTCAGGCGAAACGCGTCTTGGCAAAATAAGCATACTATATTCATCATATATTTGTATATTTTCTATTTTTGTTATATATTCTTAATGTGTAATTTTAATTGGTAAATAATATTTTTTTTCTTGAAGTTTACCACCTGGTTCTTGTAAGGGAGGTGTCACCCTGTAATCTGACACCAAGCAAGGATACTTAGAGACAGTTCATAAAAGGCTCTAAATAAGGTGAACAGTCATTTTTGTTATATCCACACTAAAAGATTCATAACTTAAAGCGATACACCTAGATGTTTTGTCTATTTTGCTTTACTACACTATATATATACTGTGGACTACAACGGAGAGGAAGCCATAAGAGGGGTTGTGGTTGACGACCTTAATAGACACAGATACGCTAAAGTTTGTAGCCTATACCATAAAAGGCTCTAAAAAATGTGAGTGTATCTCTTTGTATCCAAACAACATTCACTCTTTTATACCTCACAGAGTTCTACTATGTATGCTTTGTTTTCTGTATTTTTTAACATGTAAAACCCCCTAAGGATATGCCTTATAGGGGTAAGTGTACTGATCTACTCACTTGCACCCCACTGGATGGGTAGTAAATGTACTGATATAGCGCTGCACTGAGACTGAAAGTCCGGTCAGTATACCTACTAACCAGACTTGAAGTTATATGTGTTTCTGGTGATTGCTATTTGTGTGGGATTTTTTGGGAGTTCCCACAGAGTGTTTTTCAGCAGCTAAAAAAATACTATTGAGAGAATTCTTTTGAGCGCCATTTTTTCCACACCTTTTTGTGTTATATATAGTCTTGTCTTTAAAACAGTAAAACCTATCATGATGTTGAAATAACCAGTAAAAGTGCAGTTTTTATGTAAAAATTATAATGCAAATAAACAAATATGAACATTAAATTTGGCAAGTGTTTGTGGCTAAGTGGCTACTACAAAAGACTGGACATACGCCATTTTGAATACCTTTGATTGTCTACTTTCGCAACTGTTATGTCATGGTGGGGTTAATTTTCATTTCTGGGCTGCCATACGGTCTGAAAGGCAACATGGGCCCAGCAAACCAATCTGGCAAATTTCAATGTGCATACATGGAAAAGCAGAAATCCCTTAATTTGTCCCCTGTAAGTTTGCAAAGTCCCATAAAACCTGTACATTGGGGCACTGTTGTACTCGGGAGATGTTGCTGAACACATATTGGGGTGTTCTTTGTCAGTAACACATAACAGGAACTGAGAATCCATGCCTAAAGTACAATGTGAGAAAAACACAAAAGGGACTACCCAAAAGCTTGACAAAGACTGGTGGTAGAATTAGTGCATGAAAAGTGTGAAAATACCACCATTTGAAATACCCTGGGGTGCCTACTTTTCAAAAATATGGTTTGATGGGGGTAAATTACATTGGCCAGCTTCAAAAATGTGCCAAATAGGACATAGGTGCATGATGACCAGCTGTGAAAATTCACAGCTATACATGGGTGGTATCACTGTACACGGGAGATGTTGAACACATTTCGGGGTGTTCTTTGGCAGTAACCCCTAAAGTTCTCAGTACATGTATTCTTAAATTGCTACGTTGGTTTAAAAATAAATAAATAATTTTTTATGTTAATTTTGGCATAGTTTGGTGGTAAAATGGTTGCACGAAAATACCTCATGTTTAATACCATAGGAGGTCTTTAAAAA